GTTAAAGCATAATTGCAACCTATGAAATGTGAAAAGGCTCGGGCTGGCTTTTGTGGCTGCTTAATTGTACGCAACAAGTAAAGGCGGCTTCTCAGGCTGCACTGTGATGGCAAAGATTAGCCCCCCCCCCCAAAGCTTTCATAAATAAGGAAAGGAATTTGGTACAATGGTGATGCTTTGGAGCAGGGACCAATCTAAACAAAGCTCAGGGTCCAAAGCAAAATAAGCAAGGCATGATGAAGGATCCCAGAGTGATAGTTGTTTTGTGATTTGTATCAGGAGTTAAAAGATGAGGGACCACTCCTGAGGCACACAAGTGGTAGGCACCATCATAATACATCAGTATCAGTGACGAATCCAAGGTTTTCTACTATCCTGCTTAATCCAGCCTTCTCCAGGCATTATAGCTATGTAGGGACAAGCAAAGTAGAATGGGGCTGCAAGGTTGTGTCTTGAGTTCCATTTCTGTTGTCACGTGCCAGCTTCCCTGTGTCTTAGCATGAGCTTTTTCAGTAGTATATTTCTGCTTGCAGAGGTTTCCCAGTTCCCAGGGGGATCATGGGGATGGCCACCAACTTAAAAGGTAAAGGTAAAGGGACCCCTGACCATTAGGTCCAGTCGTGACCGACTCTGGGGTTATGGTGCTCATCTCGCTTTACTGGCCAAGGGAGCCGACATACAGCTTCCGGGTCATGTGGCCAACATGACTAAGCCGTTTCTGGCGAACCAGAGCAGCACACGGAAACGCCGTTTACCTTCCCGCCGGAGCGGTACCTATTTATCTACTTGCACTTTGACGTGCTTTCGAACTGCTAGGTTGACAGGAGCTCACCCCGTTGCAGGGATTCAAACCGTCGGCCTTCTGATCGGCAAGTCCTAGGCTCTGTGGTTTAACCCACAGCGCCACCCGCTTCCCCTGGCCACCAACGTAGATGGCTTTAAAAGAGAATTGGACATGGATAACTCTACTAAGTCATGGTGGCTGCATCTAGGAAGACAGAAAACCAATTGCTGGAGATCATGAGTGGAAGAGTGTTGTTGTGCTCATGTCCTTGTGGGTCTCCCATAGACATGTAGTTGGTCACTGTGGGAAGTACTGGACTATATGGGGCTGTGGCCTGATCCAGCAGGTCTGATGGTTCTATTTCTCAGTTGAGGTGGGCTTTTATGAATTCTTTTAGAGGCCATATGCCAGTGGTGGGCAGGACCAGAAGGAAAAGTGGGCATACCAATAAATATTCGTTTTATCTTTACAAAGTAGGCTTGATTCTGGGAGAGAGATAGAGATAGAGAGTTCATGAATACAGTCCAGGCAGGCATAAACACAAACAGAGGGTTGCAAAGCAGGACTGTTAAGGAATGTGCCTGAGGAGGGAGTTTGGCCTGGGGATAGTCCTGAGAGCTTTCGGCAAATGCTGAAGATGCACTCCTTGACCCTGGTCTTTGACGTCTGAAATTGCTTTTTCGGGACCCACCCTATTCCTGTGACTGTAATCTGTTTTAACTGTTCTCAGTTCTGAATTTTAATTTGTTGCATTTTTCTACTGGACCTTCTTGTGAAGGGTAGGTAATAAATATTATGATTATTACTTTCTTTCCTGGGCTTCCAAGCATGGCTGTATGTAAAAGTCTTCCTTCCTCGCCCCTCTCCTTCAGTGCATCAGGTATCCATATGAACCTGCCATTTCATTTCAGCACTTTTTTTTTTTACACACACACACGCACATCCTAATCTTTGTTTTCTCAGGCTTTTGGGGGGGAGGGACACTTACCTTAATCCTCTTAACATTTGTGTGCCTTGAAGTCATGGTTCTTTGTAAGGTTTAGGATTTCAAGAGGCTGGCTCTCTCTGAATCTTGAGGTCAGCTTGACCTTCTCCCGGCTGATTTCTCCTCTCTTGCAATTATGGCTCACCGGTATCACTTTAAAATAAACAATTAAAAGGAATCTGGGCTATTAGTACCCTTTCATCTTCCTTTTTTATTCATCTCTGGCCTGCGGTGCTTGATCGGAGGCTATCGTTGATGAATCCCCCCCATGTTTCTGTGTTTTGTTTTGACCTTGCAAATGTATGCCAGCATTTTCTTGCTGTTGGGGGGGGGGTAAGAAACAGGGCCAAAAATATATTGCTTGCTGTTTCACTCCATACTTTGATCCTCTCCTCCTTACCTGAATCAATGGCTCTCCTTAGAACTCGTGGGAATGGCCAGTATCTTTTCCTGCACTTGGGAGCACAGCCCACTCACCTGCTGTTTTCTGTCTGTGTCTCTCCTCTGCAAGTAACACCTGTCTGTGCAACGCCAATGCTTTACGCAGTTATCTACTATGCAAGCGAGGGAAGAGCTGGTACTAATTTAGTTTGTCCTTTTATTATTTTCTTTTTGTTCAGAGACAGCTAAGAGTTATAGCTGCCTGGCTGTTTGGCTAACTCACAAGGCACCAGTTGTTTTGATGGGCAAGGGAACTTTTTATGTTCTTGCCAACCACCGGCTGCATATCAGTTATGAGGGATCGCAAGTGGGAGAGGGCCTCTGCTGCCCATTAGACATCTGATTGGTAACTGAACACAGAATGCTGGACCAAATAGCTCTAGCAGGGCTCTTTTGATGTTCTCATGGGCTTGCCAGAGAAATCTGATTGGCCATCGTGAGATGCAGGAAGCTGGACTAGATGGAACTTTGTTCTGACTCAAAACAGTGACTTGATGTTCTCTTGATCTGAACAAGTTCTACACATTAATTAAGAAATAATTACAACAGAGCCATGCCATCCTGCTCACAGCTTTGATTCATGTTATTTATTGTTTGTGACTTCATGCAAACTTTTCACCTTTTTTGATAATACCCTAGACTTAAGGTTTTGTTGCTGTGTGCGCACTTTAAAATCAGAATATAGCTCGCCACGACAAATTGATTCAGATCACTGTCACAGAAGTATTTAGCTAATATTACTTCAGAAGTTTTTACCCTACTTAAAGTTTCATTGCTGCCTTTGAAGTATAACCCATGGGGGAAACAACTGTTATTAACAGTTTCAGACAGGTGTTTCAACCTGTAAAGATATGTTCACAAGCACACATGCACACACACCACATGCAAACACACAAAATTGCTTCTGAATGGAATCACTCTGCCTTCCTTTTTCAATTATTCACCCATCATCCTGTGTAAAGCTGCATTGAGATTTATTTCGTTCTCAATTGTGTGTGTGTGTTTGAGAGAAAGAGAATTAGTCTGACACATGTTTAAGTTTTAGTAAACTATCACCTTCAGTTTGCTACATCTGCTGTTTCCGTGGGATTCTGAAGGCTTTCCAATTAGAAAGCCTTGAAATTAGGATTTGAAACCACTAAAAAAATAAAGAACAGGAGGGGGGAAATAATCTGTTTTAATGCTCATGTTCCATTTGGGCAAAATCCACTTCCCCGTGGCAATGAAGTTCTAGCAATTTGGCTCTTTGTAGCTGGAGTTGGAAAGAGACAGGGAGTGAAATCCAACCCTTCGTTTGAGGCCGCTAAGTGAAATCGCCGGCTATCTCCTTGCAGCTGTTGCTCTAGCAGACCCTTCAGCATTTGCTGGAGGGAAATAGGTATCTGTCTTATCTTATGGAAACTTCAGGATCCAGGGAGCTGAGTGCTCAGAAGGAGACCAGGCCAGCACCTGGCCTCCTTGGAAAGCTTTCATAGTTCTGGCACCCTAGCAGGGCTGGCTGCTGATGCCTGCCCTGCTCCCTTTAAATCTAGCCACCATTTTCATTTCCCACAGTGCCACTGACCTAGCATTGCTTTTTGAGAAATCAAAATGGCGGCTAGACCCATCCATACTGTACCGCTTGCCATGCTGCTGTCCGCTGTGTCCAGCCAAGTCCACCATGACATTCAGCGCTTAGTGCATGGAGCTCCTTGCGATCACATCCTTTGCACATAAAGCACCCCCTCCCCCAGTAATGATGGAATTTGATGTACCATCATTCTGGGCAGGGGGGTATATTAAAAATATGATTGCTGCCATATGTGTGTGTGTAATCTTTGCCCATGCAATCTTTGCCCAGCTCGTGCATAGAGTGAAATCCTGATCAGCTTGGCTGTGTGCCCCTGTTCCTCCTGCCTCTCCTCATACTTCCTGGTTCACACTGACAATGCCATATCAGACTCATCAATGGATGACCAGGAGGAGGGAAGCAGTGGAAGGTGGCAGAGCAGGATGCCACCTGTCTGTCCTGCCCCTGTCTGTCCTGACACTTCCTTTGTGGTTTGCCTGGGTAGCTTGCCCAAGCCTCCATTTATTTTTCACTCCTCCCTTCTTCTCAACCTCCTATGCTGCTGCGATGGCAGAGCAGCTCTCAGATATCTGCTGTGATGCTGCAGTTTGCAGCGCCACCTGTGTCAGCCAAGTGAACTGCAACGTGACAACAACCTTACCTTCTTATTTTATGTAAGGGTTTTTATTTTATTTTTTGACTTCCTGTTAATCTTTGCAAATTTTGAAAAGTTTCCCCCTAGGAGAATCAGCATGGGAATGTTATGGAACAAACTTAATGGTGACCACATGTGAAATTTATAGCAGCACACAGGAGAAAATAAGTAGCACATATGGAAGAGGCCATAGTTCAGTGATAGAACTCAGTATGCAGAACATCACATTGGTGTATCCAGCTCAGTATTATCCACACCAGGGAAAAGGAACCTGTGACCCTCCATACGCTGTGCACTCTCATAATTCCTGAGCATTGCTCAGGCTGACTGAAGCTTTTCCATCCCTAGTCAACCCTAATGGAAAGTGGCTGTCCAGTGTGTCTTTTCTCATGTGACCCAGAGACAGAAGACATTAACAACTTGAGATTGTTTACATGCAAAACATGCACTCTGCCATGGAGGCATGGGCCTACTGATCTTATCTTAGTTGTGTCAGACCATTGGTCCATCTATCTCAGGATTCTGTACACTGACTGGCAATGGCTGTCTAGAAGAAATTCAGGCACGGTTCTATCCCAGTCCTACCCAGAGATACCAGGAATAGAACCAGGGACCTTCTGCATGCAAAGTGAATGCTCTACCACTGAGCCATGGCCCCTTGGAATGGCACTGAAGAGAAATGAGCAATTATGACCTGGATGGCATGAGCTAGTTTTAGCACATACTAGGAAAGGATACCATGGGAAACTTGGGTGGTGCAGATGTCCTCTTAAGAGATTTATGAAGAGCAAAGAGTATAAAATATCAGGATGGCTGGGCATCAAGATCAAGTGCCTCAATGACTTTGATTCTTTTGGCACAATGTGTTGGATCAGGGTGGCTTATTCAATTTGCGCTGTGACCTGCCATGTGAGGAAGGGGGTGTCGAGTGTCCTCCGATCCTTATCAGGGCACCGTTCTCATCATTCTCTTTACATGACAGCTTTTGTGCGCTTAGTGGAGAGCGCCGCTCCAAGCATAGGGACAAGGTGTGGCTGATGAGTCCGAGATAAATCAGTGCACAAAACAGCCACTGTGTGGCTGAATAGGTTTCCAATGTAACTGTTTAATTTCGTCTCTTGGAAATGTTTCTCCCCTTTTCATCCAGCGGCCTTTATCTGAGCTCCTGATCTCGGCAAAGCGGCAGCCTTTCAAATTGAACAAACCATGTTTCAAATAGGCTCTTCTGCTTGTGACAAGATGTACCTCATTTTCTCTGCAAGCCCTCAGCAAGGTCACACCTTTTTAATTTATTTTCTGTAAGGGGGGAAAAAAGAGAGGGGGGAGTGTGCGTGCGAGAACATACTTGTAGGATGGAGCAAGGGCCAGATGTAGCTAGAGGTCATTCCTTGAGTTAAGCATAACGAAGAATAGGATTTAGAGTTGCTTCCTATTGTCAGCTGCACCTAGCTTAATTCTTTAAAAATTAGGTTCTTAAGTGCTCCAACTATCTTTCATAGTTGCTTCAAAATCATGGGTGCTGGCTGCAGTCAAGTGTTTTATGCAAAAGGCAAGAAATGCAAGAAAAGTAAGTGTGTGTGTGTGTGTGTGTGTGTGTGTGTGTGTGTGTGTTTTATTTACTTATTTTAAAATATTTAGAGATCAACCCTCATTCAAAAATCTCAGGGCGGTGTACAACAAAATCTACAAAGGGATATAACATTTGTTTGTTTGTTTATGAATCATAGAACTGTAGAGTTGGAAGGGACACAAGGGTCATCTAGTCCAACCCCCCTGCAATGCTGGAATCTCAGCTAAAGCATCCATGACAGACGACCATCCAACCTCTGTTTCATATCCCACCTTTCTCTCCCAGGAGCTCTGGGTGGCCTATGTGGAACTCCCAATCCTCATTTAATCCTCACAACAATCCTGTGAGGTAGGTTGGGGTGAGAAGCAGTGGCTGTCCGAAGGTCACCCAGTGAGTTTCATGTCCGAGTGGGGATTTGAACCCTAGTCTCCTTGCTCCTAGCATAACGCTCAAACCACCACACCATCCTAGCTCTGCTGTTACCATTAACAACAATACAGAATGGTCATAAAAATGACTGGCTTGTCTAAAAAGTGTGAACCACTGAACAGGACTGTTGGCACGGAAAAGTCTTCAACAGATGCGACTTTTAAAAGACATCTGAAGGCAGTCCTGTATGAGTTTTTTGATGTTTTGCTGTGTTTTTATTATGTCGGATGCCACCAAGAGTGGCTAGAGCAACTCAGTCACATGGGTGGAGTAATAATAATAATAATAATAATAATAATAATAATAATAATAATAATTCAAATCAACCTCTTTCATGACTGTGGTACAGTATCCTTCATTCTCGACTCTGAGGATGGACTTTCATAAGAACTTAAGATGAGTCTGCTGGATCATGGCGGTGGCCCATCAAGTCCAGCATCCTGTTCTCACAGTTGCTGACCAGAAACCTGTGGGAAGCCTGCAAGCTGGACATGAGCACAATAGCACTCTCCTCACTTGCAACAGCAGTGGTCCTTTGGGCCTCAAATCTCAGAGGCACCCTGTGTGCTGCCAAAATCCGACGCCTCTTCATCTCTTGCGCTTTTCAAAATAATAGTTGTGTTGTCCCATATGGTGTCTCCAAGGCTCTGCACCCGGCGCGACCAAATCGGTTGCACTCGCCTAAATCCACCTCTGCTTACAATTTCCAGTAACTGGCATTCAGCAGCCTTCAACCACATTTTGGCCACTTGTGAGATCTATCCAGGGCCAGCTGTGGTGTGGCTACATTGCTCTGTGGTTCACTTAGCACTGCTGCCAGTGTGGCCCTTCTAACATTATTAGCAAATGAGTGGATTCTGGAAGAGAATAATTTTGTAGCTCAGGAACAGCCAAAGGGGGTCCCTCCAGATGTCCAAGCCCCATCAGCCCCTGCCAATGTAGTCATTGGTTAAGGTTGATGGGATTTGTATTCCAGAAACATTGGAATTGCACCCCGTTGTCTATCCCTGATGTTAGGCTTCAGTTAAGGTAAAGGGACCCCTGACCATTAGGTCCAGTCGTGACCGACTCTGGGGTTGCGGCACTCATCTCACTTTATTGGCTGAGGAAGCCAGCGTATAGCTTTCAGGTCATGTGGCCAGCATGACTAAGCCTCTTCTGGCGAACCAGAGCAGCGCACGGAAACGCCGTTTACCTTCCCACCAGAGTGGTACCTATTTATCTACTTGCACTTTGAGGAGCTTTTGAACTGCTAGGTTGGCAGGAGCAGGGACCAAGCAACAGGAGCTCATCCCGTCGCGGGGATTCAAACCGCTGACCTTCTGATCGGCAAGCCCTAGGCTCTGTGGTTTAACCCACAGCGCCACCCGCGTCCTGGGGACCTTTTTATTTAGCCACTTATTGTTTTCTTGTGTTTCAGGGGAATGAAATATCTTAGCATGCTACTGAAGAACTTCTCTGTTGTGTATTCAGTGTTTATGAGATGCCTAGTAATGCAGAGGGATTCCACCCCCCCCCCCCCCCCGAGGCTGCAAAAGTTGTTTTAATAAGGAGCAGCTTAAAGGCCTTAACCGTTTTTATGATTTAGCTAGTTCAATGAAATTGCTCTTAATTGCCCTGTACAGTGTATAAAACTGTCAGAGAGATTTTTGGAGAGGAGGGGGAGTAATGAAGCCAATGTCATCTTCATGGAAGCAATAATAATTTCACAAAAATAACATCATTGCTATGCCTTCCGATCAGCTTCTTTGGAAGGCACATTTGAAATGTAAATATTTATTTGGGAAGCTGTTGAATTTCAAAAGTTCTTTCACAAAGGGAATCTGTCCTCTCCTCCCTTTCAATATAGCAGCTCTTCCACTCTCTTTTTCTATTTAAAGGAAAGCAAGTGTACTTTAAAGTGAGAATTGAAAAGTGATGTCCTCTAGTTATTCATTCAGATCTGGCAAGGGAGCTTAGACATGTCAAAGCAGGATTTCACGTATATCTCTTACCAGAATGAAGACTCTAGACGTGCAGCTGGTTGCATGTGTGGTTCGCCTTCTAGGTCTAGCTGCTGGGGATCTGGGTCCCCAGTTCTCCTGGAACATTGGTGAGAGCATCAACCCCCCCATTTGCAACTCCCGTTATCCACAGCCATTGGCAATACTGGCTTGGCCAGATGTGAATTGGAGTCCAACAACATCTGGAGGCCCCATCCTTCCTATAGGCCTTCCAGTTCCATCTAGATGTCTTTATGGGAAGCACTTCTTCTATGATTCAAACTAGCCACCCATTGAAAAGTTTGGTGATTCCATAGCTTCAGCAGAACTTGAAACTCTGAATGTGTGCCTCTCTTTCACACACATTCCCTAATTTTATTACCACTATTATTATTTTTTGAATTTATATACTGCCCTATACTTGGAGGTCTCAGGGCAGTTCAAAGAATAAAATCAAAATATAAAACCACAAAATACATAATCAAAATAAAAACAACAACCCAATAACCCTCCACCCCCCCAAAAAACACATTTTAAATTGGCATAGGATTTATTTTAATAAATAATATATACAGTCTATAGCCTTTTAAAACTGTGTATTGGGATTATTGTTTTTGTTTGTTGCTATGTTATGCATTTTTGTGTTTCTATATTGTAAACCACCCTGTGATCCTCGGATGAAGGGCAGTATAGAAATTTAATAAATAATACTTTTTTTTAATTTGCAGACATTTTGGCTGTAGCCCAACTTTTACAAGCTGGCTTTGGTGACAGAGAAATTAAAATTACAAGAACACAGTGAAGTAGCAAAATCTTCCGATGCCAGAAATCTTGCAAAGCAGCTGCAATCTTTGTGCTGCTCCGTACGGGACATCACTGTTTCATTTTTTTTTAAAAAAGGAGTCCATAAGAATGTTTATGTTGTTCATTAATCCGATGCAATTAATATTATTAGCACGTAGAACACATTCTCCAGGAGGTTATTATGTTAATGAATAGGGTAGTGTGTGCGTTCATAAAAGCAATTAATCGCCTACCTTATGTGATTAAAAAAAGGTGTTCTCCTCCCATGCCCATATAACCTTCAATGTATAATTTTATACACCCCATAAATCCTTCCCCTTCATTACTTGCTTTTAATGGATTATTAAAAAAAAAATACAACCTACTTTTCTTTGTATACATCTTAAGGCTTTGTAAATGAGCTCAGGTACGATGCTTTCTGATTTCATGCCTATAAAAATGGCCACAAATCAGACCAGTGATTCCTCCTCCTTGCTGCAGAGATTCTGAAATGCGAGAGGGAGATTCACCGTGTTTATTCAGGGAGTTCAATAGGTAAGCAGGCATAGGGAGCATCTTAGCTCAGTGGTCGAATATCAGCTTTGCATGCTCAAAGGTCCACGATCAGCATCTCCAGGGAGAAGTGGGAGACACTCCTGTGTGAAACCCGGGAAAGCCATTGCCAGTCAGTGCAGAAAGTCCTCAGTTAGTTGGACCAATGTTCTGACTTGTTATTAGGTTCCTTCCTGTGTTCCTACATTCCACCATGTTGGCTGCCCCTGTTGTATGCAATGGAAACACCTAGGAGACTAGGGTTGAAATCCTTTTAACTATACTTCTTTTTATCTGTCCTGAATCTTCCAACATTAAGCTTCATTGGAGGTTTGAGAG